AAGGAGCCATTGCAGCTGCATGAGCCACAGTCCTAAACCTCGCCCATTTCCCCTGGACATCAGGAGGAGTGGGGGACGATGTCAACCCCAGCTGCAAGCGATGATGAAATTCTCGCTTGCAATTTTCATTAGCTAGCTGAGACCATGCCACTATGGGTTTTAATGGGGTCCTGAGTGTACACCCACCACCGGAGTGGAAGAATGGCAGGTGCATCTTACAGATGACAAGTCGATGGTCAGTGGGCAGATCAGCTCCACGGTAGGTCCTGGTGTCAAGGACATGGGCCCACAGCCGCTGTTCCGTCACTATGTAGTCCAGCAGATGTTCTTGCTTGGACCCGGCATGCATCCATGATGTTGTGTGGATGCGCCGATGCCGGAATAGCGTGTTAGTATTTACAAGCCCATGGGCTGCACAAAAATCTAGCAGCCTCCTGCCATTGTTATTGAGCTGATCTGGCCCATGACTTCCAATCACTGCAGACCAGGTGCCAGCATCATGACCAACTCTCGCTTTGAAGTCACCCAACAAGATGACTATCCCGAGGGGCCACTTTAGCTAGCACCTGTGACAGGTCATAGAAGGCATCTGACTCATCAGCTTTGCCTGCATTCCTCCACGGATGTTCGTCTTCGGTGGGGTTATAAGTAACCACGACCACCATTCCTTGCCTCTGGTTAATGAGAAGGCAAGCCTAAAGTAGCCTGGAGCTTAGAGCTTCCCACACCTCACCGCCACACTCCCACAACCCCTTCATTCTTTTGTTCAGAAGAAGAGCCACTTCCTGTTGTTTGGAAGTCTCCTACCCCGAGTAGAGGACTGTCCACCCCTCATGGTGGCAGGAGCCAGAGCCAGTCCATCGGACCTTAAGAATACCACAGAGATCCAGGCGGTACCGGTCCTGCTCCCGACAGAGGAGTAGCAGCCTCTCCTCCGCAATGAGCATTCGAACATTCCACGTGGCCACCCGTAGTGGTTTTATGTTGTTACTGGAGGAGCCCCAAGGGCAAGGATTCAGTCTCCTGGTTCCGCCAAATGGGGTTTTGCCCAGAGACATCATAGACGCCTGTTCCCCCGGGGCCTCCGGCACAAGCTTAATTAAATATTTAAATCGTGGTTTGGTGGTAATTCATTCAAGGTGGAGGGGTTACCAGCCCCTCACACCCATCCAGAGCCCCTATTTGGCCACTGTGGTGTTTACAAACGCCATGAAGGGAATGGCCAATCTAAATAGGCCCTCCCCCCATAGCACTGCCCACCACAGCTTTGCCGTCCGGCACCAACAAGGAGGTAGGGGGTTGTTTTTGCCGGACAACACACACACATACTACAACACACTACTACACACACTACTACATACTACACACTTACTACTACACACACTACACACAACTGCTTACACAAGCCAATCGTGAGACCGCACGCCAAAGCCAATCTCCACTGCCTGCCTGTGTCGCTTGTACGTATGTTGAACTTCTTTCTCATTGTACGTAGCCAACCGTGCTCATCGGAGGTGCGCTTCCTTCTTCACGCTCTAGCGCGAGAGCAGCCGATCACACATGGCAACAACATCCTACACCGATAAGTAGTCATGATAAGAATATTTCGGATTTATTTTGTTTTACTCAAAGGAGACGCACTCATGCAGTCAGACAATTCGCGGCACTTTCCACGCATCACGGATTCTGGGTCAACCCGAAACCCCTCCTTGTTGGGCATCACCACCACACCGCCACTACCGCCACTACCACCACACCGCCACTACCGCCACAATTGCGTCCCTCTTCGTGCCTGGCCCTACACACGGTCAAGGCGTGTGCATGTTTCGACGTCGCAGAACGGGCGTTCGAGTCGCCCCCCCTCCTCAGTCGCCACTCAAGACAGATCCGCCTTTAATGTTGAACCACGGTTACTTTTATGATTGCTATGGTTACAATTTCGCTTCTTTGCTCAAGAAAGCCTCATCGAGTCTCATGACTCTGTTTTGCAAGGGAGTCCTCCCACCTTTTCGAAAGTCATTCTAGCGGTGTCATTTTTAAAATATGGACCACGACTCTGGCACACAGCGGCATACTCTTGCGCACGATGTCACGGGATCTTTAGCGTGTGCGTATTGCACGGTATATTGAACTTCTTTCGCGCCGTACGTAGCCGACCGTGCTTAACCGGAGATGCGGGGGAACGACAACAAGGTGAGCGCTGTGAAGCGGCAGATGGCACACGGTGACCCCAAATGAGTTACCTGTCCAGTGACTCAAAATGCCTAGCGGCCAGCAACGAACAGCGAATATAAAGTGATTGTAGATGAGCGTTACTCCATGTTTTTTTTTTATTGAACAAAGTTACACACTCTTAACAACTTGGGGACTCTTAAGAAGGGCCATTTCCCTGAAACTGCGTCGATGACATATTTTTCCATTTTAGCGCAGTGTTATTGACTAATGTGAGGGGTTGTTTTTTTTTCTATAATAACTTGGCAAAAGAGACTACGTCCCTTGTTGGTCTCTTACAGTTGTAACAGTAATATATTATAATAAACTCGGGAGTTTTTTTTGCTATTGCGCAATTCGCATAAGGCCTCAAAGCTTTTAACATGAAGCTTAAGTTACGGGAAAAAAACCTGCAGTGACAAGAGGTCAGTTTGAAGACGCTGTTAAAAAAAAAAGGTAACAGACTCAAGATTGCCTGATCGACCGAGGAAGGGAATTCCACGGTCGAGGGTTGTGGAATTCCATTCGCAAAAATCAACTGCTGGATTACGTTTGGGCATTATTCGCCACGCTGAAGGAGTCGGTCCCTGCGGCAAGGTTGGTTGCAGGTGTTACCTTCCGTCAGCCGCGGCCTGTGACTCGAACAAAACTCAGGACGCTAGAGCTGAATGGGGAGCGGCAGTGCGGTAACCCACTGCATCACCGCTCACACGCACCCCCGAAATTCCACCGAAAAAAAGGAATTGCGGTAAATCCGACTCCCGGCCGCCTACAAAACAAGAAGAAGATTTATCTTCTTGGTTCTTTTGGTAAAGTCACGTAGAAGGGAAATAATAAAATAATAATAAAACATAATAAAATAAAATTCTCACGGCGTTTCGGCCACAACACAAGCAACTGTCGGAAAGACAGCGCTCCGACAGTTCTGTTTCTTCACCCGAGGACGGCTGCTTGTGTTGTGGCCGAAACGTCGTGAGAATTTTATTTTATTATGTTTTATTTGTATTATTTTATTGTTTTCCTTCTACGTGACTTTACCATAAGAACCAAGAAGATGAATCCCTGCAGTCACCACAGCTTTAAATCGAAATAGAAGAAGAGTGTTGTGGAACCTGGCCCCTGGCTCACGGTAATCCTCTTATCAACGAGTCCAATCAAATAAGCTCCATTTGTTAGTATTGCCGAGCCTAATCGAAAAAACGCGGGCTTTAAATCCTGACATGCATTTGCGGAGAGCGCCTCTTTTCTGTCTTCGCGTAATTAATTTGACGCGCTGGTGGTGGTGATGGTGGTGGTGATAGTGGTGGTGGTCGTGTGTGTGATGGCAGTGGGGGTAGGGCCTTAAGTGAAAGCACGTGTCTTCTCCTGAGCAAACCTTTTCTTGGTGGGCTTGGTTGTAATTTATGTATAATTATTCGTTTCCAAACCACTCATTGATGACGCCCTATGTATGTACGAACTTCTTTCGCACCGTACGTAGCCAACCGTGCTAATTGGAGGTGTGGGGGAAGGATATTAAACTAAACACGAAAAAGCAGTTCTAAACAAATGAGTTTTCATTCTAGATTTAAAGGGGCATAACTCCAGTGGCTTCCTATGAACAGCACACCCAGAATGTGCTCTGCATTACAGCCTGCGTAAAGCAGGTTGCTGTTGTTGTTGGCTGCTCCGGGGCTGACACAGTGTGCGTAGCAGATGACAGTGCAGCAAAATCCATTGTTGTACTGCACTATGCTTCCACATTTATGCTCCCCGCCTCAAACCCCCGCACTGGCGAGCGTGGTGAAGTATGGCCAAATAGTTTAAGACGTAGGAGGCTTTCGCGACCAATATCAACCATAATAAGAGGGGGATTTTTGGGGTTAGATCGCGTAAATATATAAGTGTGTCGTGAATCGCCGCCGCCACCCGACACAGCCAACTAGTAAGGGTTGTCACGTAAACAGAACGTGGCCAATTCGTCACTAGTACAGCACACCAGTGTGTTGGAGAGCCAAGCCACAACTTTATGGCCAAATAACCTCCACAACCCTTGGGGCGTGAGGAGGCCATCATCCAGCAGTGGATTGACAAAGAGCTGCATCTGTACATATGCAATTCGTAAGGCAAATGTGAATGTCATTTGAATAAAAAAATGCTTATTGTATCCACAAATATATACCCCATCCTGCGTTCGCCAAAGGGAGAGAAAACAATCACGATGTGAATTCACCAAACACGATGAAAATCAATTTAACACGTAGGAGGCTTTCGCGAGCAATAGCATCCATAATAGAGTTTTTTGGGGGTTAGATTATATATTTACGCGATCTAACCCAAAAAAAAACCTCTATTATGGACGATGAAAATCATTCCACATTACCAATCAAAAATATTGAACCCCACTCGTAAACTTTGTCGCAAATGAATTCACGACTCGGTGAACAGCTGATTTCCAGCGTGAGCTCACAACCCCAAGGGGGATGCACGGGCGAGGCCCTCCGTCCCATGAGCAGTGACTCAACCAGGGGTCGGCAACCTGCGTCTCTGGAGCCGCACGCGCCTCTTTAAGGACTGCTTCGTGCTGTTATTTATTAAGGATCCACCATCTCGTATTCACACGCGTTGAGGCTCTTCAAATATTGAGCTTTTTTTTACCGAATTGTAAAAAAAAATGGCTGTTCTTGTTATTTTGGTCGCCTGCCCCTGAGCTCAACCAAAGGAACTGCGCATGCACCTACGAGCGACACGATCGGCGAGTCCGAGCAAGGTCCACTCCAAACTCCCCCTCCCGCCTCTTGTCTCCACAGTGCCCATCTACGTGCCTTTCCTCATCGTCGGAGCCATCTTCGTGGCGTTCATCCTCGTGGGCTCCCTCATCGCCGTGTGCTGCTGCCGCTGCCTGCGCCCCAAGCGCCAGGCGGCGCAGAGCCGCCAGGCCGCCCAGTCTCGCCTCCTCGAGACGCTGCCCATGATACCCGGGGCAGCTCCGGGCTCCGTGGCCGGGGCGGCCGGCGGCGCCGGAGCTGGTTTTGCGCGAGCCCCCTCTCGCCAATCCAGCAGCGCCACCAGTTCCACGTCCAACGGTGCCCCCAACGCGCCCGGGATGACCGCCAACGCGCCCGCGGCGTCCTACAAGGCTCAAGGAGGCGGGCAGATGCCCGGGCAGCAGCATCATCAGCTGAACTTCAAGATGCCGGTAGGGTCAGGCAGAGCGCAAACCGGGGGACACATCGCTCCTGGTGGTGCCGCGATGATGCTCAAGGCTCCTGCTCTGTGCGCCTCCTCTGCGCAAGTGGCCGGGCGAGCTGGCCCCGTGGACACGGTGAACACTTACTACAGCTACCCCTACGGGTACCCGTTCCACGCGGCGCACCATCACCACCACCAGCAGCAGCAACAGCAGCAGCAGCAATTTCATCATCACCAGCAGCAACAGCAGCAGCAAGCGGCAGCGGCCGCGGGATTGTTCATGCGGCCCCAGCAGTACGTGATCTACTCGGTGCAGGGCGAGTACAGCCAGGCGCACGCGCAGGCGCAGGCACAAGCGCAGGCGCAAGCTCAGGCGCAAGCTCAGGCGCAGGCGTACGCCATGCACGGGCACGCGCCGCACGGACACGCGCACTCCGCGAGCGAGGCCGGGGTGCGGCCCGCTCTGGGTGCTCCGGCGCCGGGCGACGCTGCGCGGGCAGCGACCCAGCAGCAGCAGCTCACGGCCACCGCGGCGTCGACCCAGGCTCCGGCGCCGGGGACCGTTCCCGCGGCCGGAGAAGCCGCGCAGGGCCCCGGGGGGACGGCCAACGGCCCCGCGTCAGAGGCCAATGGCCTGGGTCAAGCGGCGGTGGCGGGCTCGGCGCCCCCACGGCACAGCGGAGCGCCGAGTCAGGAAGAGGGCAGCGTAGCCCCGGCTCACATGTGCGTCTGAAGTGCGTCTGAAGCGCGCGCGGGCGCACGTCCCCACGGACGGTGCGGATGGCGGTGGGAGTCGTGGGGGGAAGACGGAGATTGACGACGCGGGTCTTCGACAGTCGCCGAGGTGAAGAGAATGAACGCCCAACCGGACGAGGGACACGCCTCCCCAAGTGTGCTTCTGGCCCGCGAAGTGAACGCTGCCAGACACTCCACGCCCGAAACGTGTGATTTGCGCGAGTCGCTTTTTCGTTTCATCATCATCAGCAGCCATGGGCAATCCACTGCTGAATTATGGCATCCCTACGTGGTCACCTCCTCTCACGATCCTGAGATGTAATTATAATTATAGTAATCCAGCTATAGTACCTGGCCGCACACGCGGTGATTCCTCGGTCTCATCATCTCCCGGAGAGATGCAGCTCTTAATGTCATGCCCGGTTTTTTTTTTTGCGCATTAGCATCACGGGTTCAGAAACGTGCCACGTGCACAGCATCGGAACGAGGTGACGTGGCCCATTGATGACTCGTCGCGGGTGTGCGCGTGTTTATTTTCTTTATGCGTGCCTCATCAGGTTCAAGTGAATTCTCACCATTTCAAAAGGTGTGCGCCCGCGCTCGGTCAATGGCTTGGATTCTGTCTGGATTCTGTCTGGATTTGTATCTGTAGGATCGTGTCGTTAAATCCGGGTCCACGTCTCCATCCGTGCTTCATCGGTTCCACGGGGAATTGAAGCGTAAGTTTACGTGGCACACCAATTTCATGAATTCGGCAGTTTAGTGTTCTCCAAAAATGTTAGATTTCAGCAGCAACATTGTCACTGCTTTCTTCTGGAGTACTCCGTTTTCACTGTCACTCCATGTGTACCTTATAAATTATAAGTCGGTGTACGTTTGCTGAACTTTATTACGAATGTAGTAAATATCTGCACGCCGGCTTTTTTTACCACAAAAAGCGAGCGAGCGTGAGAGATTTCTCTAATAAACCAAGCGAGTTGGGTCTGTCGCGCGACCACCAATCCCGCGATAATTAGGCCGCATTAATACTCGGCGCGAGTGTTAGTGCGGCTGGAGGCTGATATATTGCCATTTATTTTGTACTAAGTACATATATTACTGTACAGTCGTTTCGTGCGTGCGGGAGCAATTGTCCATTCTCGCCACCATTAAAATCAGCTTACGCAGCACCAGCAACAGCCATTCCTTACAATTAAGATTATACAATTATACAAACGCGGTGCGGTGGAGAGATTATAATGACAGACAAGATCTTGCGCTCTTGTATGGGGTGTTTTTTTATTTTCTTTTAAAAAAAAAAAGCGCTCTCGTTTTGTCATTAGGCAATGCCTAATGTAGACGGGGGGCACAAGGTGAAATAAGTTTTATTTATATATATATTTTAAAACGTTCACTGTGTAATGCCCCTGCAATTCTGCATCGCCTTTACCCGCTGATACACACACACACAGAGAATAGTTAATTGTGTTCACGTGCAGGGCCCCTGCATACTCATTAAACCGCTTGGGATTTACTCTTGAATAGCAAATGTAGAATTTAATTATATTTAAAGGCCTCTTCTGCCCCATTACAATGGCCCGTTATTGTTTATGCGAGTCTCTTAATGGTTTAGAAATAGCGCTTACGTAATTGTGGCTGTCTCTAGCCCCTGACACTCGCGACTTGTTTTATCCATTACCGATAAAGATGTGTTTTTTTAAGAGAACCACAGAATTGCTTATCATAAATTAAGTGCTCATATGCTGTGCGCTGGGCTTAATTTAAATCGGAGGTGTCCGGGGCTGAGCTCCGGAAAAAAACACATTTACTCCGCACCCGATATCACCGTTTGGGAGGTCCTGGAAAATATTCCAAGAGAAATGAGGCCCTGGCCATGTGTATGGGGAATGGAAAAAAAGCGTGAGGGCCATGTTTTGAAAATGAGACACCAGAGTGTGCAAAAATTCTCGAACATTACGGTTGCTGTGGTCCTAGTGTACTGCCCTATTGTCAATCGAGGGCCTCCCGCATGTGGTTACAAGTCGTGGTTGGTTTATTTGACCATACTTCACCACGCTGGTCCAGTTCGAGTTGGTGGTCGCACATCCAAACGCGCTCGACTCAACTCTGCTTAGCGGTGCCCACGATCCAACGACATTGGGAGCGCAATTCGGGTGATTTGGAGCGGATTATTGTCATGAAAATGCGTTTTTAAAAAAATATCCACAAAATCGGTCAGTGTTGCTATAAACTAATGCACGCCACTTGTACGGTGCAATGTGCAACAACCTCGAGATACGGCAATCCAGAGCAGTACTTTGTAAAACTGTACATTGATAACACACACACCATGGACATATTAAACATTTGGGTGTGCATAAAGACGTGTCGCCTTCACAGCCTGTGGGGCAAGTGCTGTTAGCGAGCGAATAGATAAATATTTGAAGGCCGGCACGCACAACGAGGGGGTGGGTGGCCAGCACCACGCCCGGCCGCCTTACACACGCACATACGCCTTATTCACACACACACACACGCCGGTTAATGCTGTGTTAATGGCTGTGAGTCACGTGTACTTCAGAGCCGACGCTACGTTTGTCTGCACTACAATATTGTAAAAAGCTTTCGTAATTATTCATACGGTGCCAATGTTTCTGAACTGAAATCGTCGTTACTTGTTACTGTACAACAACCATGTTTTTACAAAATAAACAGGGCTAAAATATGCACTTCTCATTTCGTGTTTTGCCAAAACGTTATTTCTCAGGATTGTTTTCAATAGAATGAGAATTTACATTTTTACACCTACCACGCTGTCTTTCCTTGTTTACCAATTTACTTTAAATATAAATGTATTTCTGCCCCGCTGCACTCACCCGATGACTGTTAAACAAATCCCAGGTGATACGCTAAGCAATTAACACTTCGTTAATAGATCCGATTCAAATTAAGATCTCGCTGTGCGCACGTGCTCCACGCGACTGCAGACAGCGTTAAATGCTTTGCGTGTCACGTGGGACGTGTTTAACAATCATCAGGTGCGTGAAGCGTGACAAGAACTTAATTTGTATTACAATGGGGAGTAAATTGGTCAACGCGGAAAGACAAGGCAGCTCTCGGTGGGTCGCGCCGACTCGAGTTTTAGAAAGTCTTAACGCGTGCGATTAAGATGCATCTTAAAATGGTTCCGTCTGTTCAAACTTTAAATCTTTCCGGATTATTATGAGTAGGAACTTCTTGACAGGTCTAAAGGAAGCAGTGAGGCATTTTTGGGTTCAGAAAAAACTAATTACATTAAACATACACCACGGGTTTTATATCCTGTATATCCTGTACCCCACCCCATTATACATTTCAACTTATGTGACCCAGATGTTCTTGTATGTAATACCAAACAACACATGCAACACATTGGGGGAGGGGGCGGGGAAACGTATCCAAACGCATTATTTTTTTTCACACCGTCTGCAGCCACAGTAGCATTCATTCTATGAAATCACTTGTCAAAAACACACCATTTCTATACTCTTTGGTTGTTTCGGTAAAGTCACGTGGGTATAAAATAAAATAAGGTGGGAAAGCACCTGATGATGATTGCTTGTGTTGCGCCCGAAACGCCGTGATTTATTTAATTTGATACCTACCGTGACTTTACCGAAATAACCAAAGAGTATGGATTCCTGCAGTCACGAAAGCTTCAAATCAACATCATGTCGACCATATATGTTTGTTGTTCAAACCCGCCCAGAGTAACATGCGAATCTTTACAAGTTTTACACCGGCGGGCAAAACAACAACAAAAACCTATCCAGCGGCGTGGACACTTTAATTTTGAAAGTTGTTCTTTAATAAGACGACAACAATGAACAGCGAAACAAAAACACAAATACACAGGAACCCCCTTGCAAACGGGCTCAAGAGATGAGCGCTGGCCATGCAACCGCCGTGACGCGCTTCAATAAATAGGAGTTGTTTGGATGGTGGTGGTGGTGGGAGGGGGCGGCGAGTTCCTCTGTGACGTGGAGCAAGCAACAGCGATTTACTCACAACCCACCCGTGCCCGAGAGACACGCGCGCACACGGACGCCGACGAGACGACGACGAGGAGGAGGAGGAGACACCGTCGCGAGACTGGGCGCTAGCGAACCATTCCGAGCATCATGCGGCGCCTTCGGTGGACGCGCCGCCGACGCACAGCGGCGCGAACTCAGCGGCTCAAGGCGCGGGCGACGACGGCCGACGGACAGAGCCATGCGCGCCAACTTGTAACGCGAACAGAGAAACCCCCACCGTGGAGTGTTCCTGCGGATCTGAAAAACCTGCGGGGTTAAACCGGTGGATCGACTTCCGTTGGTGCGGCGCAGCACGGCACATTTACGGTCGCACCTCGGGGCTTTGTGCCGTGCACATCATAACTCAGTAGTTTTAACGGATATGCTCGAACGTCTACTTCCTTTTGTCCACGTAAAGGAAGGAAAACAAACAACTTAAATCATTTAAGACAAACTAGACATTTGAAAATGCAAAAGTGATATTTTGCGTTTCTTTATATTCCCAAGGGACTCAGAAGAACATTCACAATACTGCAAACAACATTTTAGTCACAAGCCCACAGAATGCAGTGAGAATTGTAAGGTTTTTTTTCGTTAAGTAACTTAAACATACGCAAATATTGATATAGAAAAAAAAAAACTTCGTGAAAATCCATTTCTCTGCAATAACCTTGTTCACATGCACATTTTGACGTTACATTGCAGCGTCTACGTTTTCCATTTGACCTGTCAGGATACTTTTGCTTGACTCTATGAGCCACAGGCATTTTACTGCACATCACGAAGACTGAAAGAAACTTTAGTACGAGAAATCTACAGTGAACTTGACAAAGAAAAAGCATACACAACACAAATGTGAACACAAACTCACAAGAGCACGCACGCACACAAGCACCACCTACTCTCCTCGGGACAATTATCTGTACTCCAACTACATCAAATTTATGTTTTGACTTGTTTGGTCGTGTGGTTACGGTGAATGAACGGAGAGCATGGACAGAGTGCAGATGCTTCTAAAATGAGGCTGTTTAAGAAACACTCGTGCTCTGTAGAGTTTCTGGTTTTGGTCAAGAGGCACTTTCTTTCATTTAAACTTTCACAAAACAGTAGAGAGCTTCTCTCTGTGTTGACCAGCAGGGTTTTGCTTTGATTTCAAAAGCAATTTAGGAAAATCTCAACAACAACAACAAAAGTGCTCGTCGATAAAAAAGCACACTTGTTATGTTATGAAAATATCACTGCATGGCCTGGTTCATAAATACAATCGTCGTGTACCACCAAAACACACACACGTTAGTTTTGTATAAGACCAAATTCATGGGGTTGGTGGTGTGCAGGGGTGGATGTGTAGCAGAGGGGGGGGGGTGTAGTGGTTTTTAGTTTTAGGGGCACAGTGGAAGGAGAGTTTTGTTCCTTTTCATTTACTTCCACCCCCCACCCCCCAGAAAAAAAGCAGAGTTTTCTAGTGCACAGAAAGGAATATAATTGGTGTGGCCCCAGTGTCCTGAATGCTAACAGGGCAGCCTTTGAGGCCTCCCTTCATTCCAATGGCAGGAGCATGGCTGTTAATGGGTGGAATCAGAGGGCCCTTCACCTCTCCCCCATCTTGATGACAACAAAGATGGAGCCACAATGCCCGTGGAACCACACCCACCCCAGCCACATCGCGGTGCCCAGAAAACGGGGTTCCTTTTTTTCTTTCCCACAATTCCGCGCACAGTACTTGGATGCCTAATTAGGACTGTGAATCTGGTGACAAAATAGCTAAAGGGAAAATATATGGATTTATGGTGATAACATTGCGATAAAATGGTCAAAGTGCAGCGAGCTACGTACGAACGTGCCAGGTCAAGCAGCTCGTAAATAAATGTCTGATTAATATGGATGGAGATTTACCTTCCACTGAAAAAAAAAAATCAAATAGCTGGAAAAAGTATATGTAAATAAAAGGAGACAGACAGACATAATAGACACTGGTAAAAAAAAAACCCCGAGAGAGATGCAGGGATAGGAGACAGCCAGGGTTGTGAGAGTGGGCACGCAAAAAAATGAGAATTCGGGAGCCAGACAGAGATGTAAAGAAAGGAAGCCCCTTTTAAAAGACGATGCAGAAAAGGGCATTGCGACAATAGCAGGGAACACGCTGCCCACAAACCCCCACGTACCACCCCCTTTCTCTGCCCCCCCCCCTCGCATCCCCCCACCGCCGATCCCCGTGTGAATCCCGGCTCCACAGGGGCCTCTTTGTCCCCCTGGCCGGCAATGCTCAGTCGCACAGCACGAGAGATGAACCAGCAAGGGAGGTGGGAGCGACGGGGCGGGCGGGCGGGCGCAGGAGGCGACTGCCGTTCTGTTTCGGTGGACGAGTGGCTTGAAGGACACCACCCCACCCCGCACCCCCGCTCAACGTCCCCATCTTCCCGCAACTCAAACCCAGCAAATGGAAGAGGGGGCGGCGGGGCGGCGGGGCGGGCGGGCGGGGGGGGGTAAAGAAACAGAAAGCGAAATAGACATGGAGAGAGGGAGGCACAGACGCAACACCCCTCACACCCATCGCCCCTTACACCCCATCATCCCAACCTCCCGCCCCCCAAACCCCTTCTCTCCGCTGTTCACGGCTAATTAGCGCAGCGGCACGGAGACAAAGCCCGCTGGGTCGTCTCCTCAGCAACAAGGTCGCCCATGGGGTTACAGGGTGAAGGTCAGGGGTGATTTCACACCAGCTGTCCCACTCCATCACCGGCGGGGGGTTGCGGTTTGTGGGTTTTCTCGTTTTAGTGACGAGAGTGGGAAAGGAGACAGCCGGTGTCGGTGGCGAAGGGGGGCGAAGGGGCTGGTGGCTGGGATCGCGGTGGAGGAAACGTGCGGAGGCCACGTCTTACAGATTTACACACGCGGGGGGAGGGGTTAAAGTGTGCAGCAAGGTGGTGATTATTGATGACGGTGATATGATGATTGATGATGACGGTGGTGATTAATGTTTTCGTTCAGCTGCTGTCACTAGTTTGGCTGTGATCCACGCATGCCTTTACTCGTTATATAACTCAAGCCAGCAGCCCAAAATATGTACCTGTAACGTTAATGCAGTGCGTATTAACGTGAGCGTATAAATACGTGTTTTTGATGCACGTGCTCGTGATGGACCACGTGCGTCCCGCGGAATTCTGGGGTCAATAAAAGCCACACAGGGGTATGCGTGTAATCTCAATGCATTGTTATATCAAGGGCAAGTAACATCTCCAAAGGTCTCATGGGGAATCCGCGAAGAGCATCCATCCAAGAAAACAGAATACGTTCAACGGCATGAGCAAAATAAAGTGGTCAAAATATTTAACAAACAAGTAAAGTATTCTTAGCTCTTTACCGAAAGAGCTAAGAATATGAATTACTGCAGTCACGAAAGCTTTAAATCAAAATTTAAAGCAAAGTGGTTGGGTATTCAAAACCAGAAGCCAGCCACCAGTGGTAAGCCATTAAAAAAGATTAAACGTAACCTACATTTTGACATCCTGGCAAGTGACCCAATTTCATTTCTGCTCCAGACATCACCTTTCCTTCAGTAGTTAAATCCGCTGAGGTAAATAAAACACATTTAGTCACCAATAAAACCCAACCGCAGTTTCTAGCACGCGAACAAAAATGCGGTTGGGTTTTTAGTTTGTTTTGTTGCCGTGACGGCAGACGAAGCGTGAGAAAATAAAAGTACTGCATTTTTAAAACAAAACTTAAACGACATTCAACGCAACAAGTTGATGAAAAACAAAGTGATTTCACACGTTAAATGTCAATCGCCTTCAATTAGGTAGCCACGCGAGTCGGGAGGGTGTCTTTCACAATGGGGTCAATATACACCACGTGTGTGTGTGTGTGTTCGTGTGTGTATGTGCGCCTGTGTACGGGGAGCGGGGTAGTGTGGCATTTATTAGCAGGCCCAGGTGTTGGTCCACCCAGGACCAACACCTGGGCCTCTCCTGGGCCTGCCCTAGGTCGACTCGGCCTCAAATGAGTACCTGGTGCGGTGTGTAAACATCGCCACTAGGGAGACAAAGGCGGCCAGGCGTGGTGCTTGCCATCCACCCTCTTCTGTGGTGTGCCGGCCTTCATAGGTGCTCGCTAACAGCACTTGCCCTAAGTCTGTTAAAGGCTATATAGGTGATATCGTTGTCTTTCTGTGTGTGTGTGCGCGCGTACAAACAAAATAACACCCAAGCAAAACAAGTTATGGGAAAGGTTTCAAACAATAAATAGTGAGAGATGCACAATGGCAAGAGGGAAGTTCAGCTCAGCGGTTCTGCTTCACGGTGTAACGGAGTGCTTGGCAGGCAGTCGTTGACGTTGGGCGTAAGGGGGGGCGGGTGGCGGGCACGGAGGCAGTCAAACACACGGCGACGCAGCCCCCCCCCCTCCACGAGTTTAGGCACCACCAGGTTTCTGCTTGGTGGTGTCGTAGGCTCGCACCACTTCCTTTTGCGAAACGACACCGTTTTCTTCTTGCGAGAAGGCAAATCCGCCTGTGTGGGCATACGCAGAGACAGAACACAAAAACACCCCCACACAATTATCCCTGGAATTGACGGATGGCATCAAGAATAATTCATCAGTACCTTTCTTTGGACTAACCAAGCCTACAACTGGTACCTGCTGCAGCAAGAAACCCATCAGGCTTGGTTAGGCCAGAGGATCGGCAACCTGCGGCTCCGGAATGAAATGCGGCTATTTAAAAGGACCGATTCGTGCCGTTATTTATAAATGACCACCGTCTCGTATTCACATGCATTGCGGCACTTGAAATAGAGATTTGTTAAACTAATTCTAACAAAAATCCCTCTGCTTGTTATTTTGATTGCCGGCTCCTCGATTAGACTCATCACACTTCCTACAAGCCACATTCAGATGTTGCCTCGTGTCACGAATTAAACCCAGATTTCAGCAATTGTGCTGCAGTGTGCTAAATGTCGCAACGTCTGCATGCACACGCACACACAAGACTAAGACCCACCCCCGTATAGCCCTAACAAACTGTTGGGCAAAGCAAGTGCTGTTAGCGAGCGCCTATCAAGGTCGGAATCGACTCGGGTTGCAGGCTTCGTGGCGCAGCACGCTAACCACGCACATGATCGCATCGGTATAAATTACGGCCAGTGTTAAAAGCACCGCACGCAAAATAACCGCAGCACGCGCGCGCGTGTACAGCTGAACCACCACCCAGCCCGAGGACTCACGGAGGAGACTCTGGTCCATGGACTCGGAGCGACGTAACCCCGCCGTGTTGGTTCTCCGGAACACGTTCTTCAGGAGGCGTGCTCGCTCCGTCAGGCTGTCGGCGTGCAGCAGGCGGACGAGGTGACAAAAGGAAGTGACGACGACGGTCAAGGGGATGATCGCCGTCATCATAACAACCGGCCCTCAAAATTGACCGCGCCACTCGAGCTTCCGTAAGCAAAGCGTCATGGCCCAAGGAAGGTCATTTGCGATGGGTTAAGCGGTGGCCGGCAGCCAATGGGCAAATCATCCGGTGCTATATAGCGCTTTTACAGAAGCGACCTGGTCACAACTGATAACTCGACAAAGTGGCCTATGACGTGGAAATTTATAGCAGCCAAATGCTCTGAACGCATGTTTCTAAATGTGAAAACCTGAGGACCCGGAAAAAATTCTAAGCGACCACGTGGAGAAAGACACTCAAACTCCAAACATAAAACAGGCATTGTCAGGGTCGGGATCGAACCCACGATCTCCCGCGTACCGGGTGAGGGAGTCAACATCCCGGCACCGCAGCACACTCGATCTCAGAAGCCAAACCGGGGGGAGCGTGGACAGCACCGTGCCAGACGACCGCCACGCACAGCGGCTGTCGCAGGGCCACGGAGGCGGTGGGGGGGGGGGGTGGCTACGTGGTAGGTAGGCAGTAGAGGGCAGTGCAGAAAAATCGATTATTTGCCTGTATTTCAATGAATGCTTCCACGTCTATGCTCACCACCTTCACCGCACTGATTAGCGTGAAGTATGGTCTAATAACGTCCACGACGAGCCGCGTGGGTATGGGGGCGGCCGTCATCCTGTAGTGGATTGGCACAGGAGCTGTGCGCGTACACATAGCGGTTGGAAACCAACAGTGGTCATGTTTGGATAACCGTGTGGGATTTCCACCGGCGATTCACGGCCCCACCGATAAGAGATGCGCACCGCGCTATTCCGCCTGTTTAGACAGGGAGACGCATGGACGTCTCTTTAAAGCGGTAATTATTGGAAAAACGGGGGATTACGTCTTTAAGTCAGGCATGGAGTGGACGCCGCACCTCTTTCCACGCTGGTGTTCCATGAGAACCTTCTCGGGATCCTGGCAGGCAGCCTCTTGCTCCTGAACCTCATCCATTAAGCTCTTGAAGCAGGTACGTTTGATCCTGGTCAGTAAATACACAGCACGGACGCGCAAACAAACACACGTAGACACACACGCGTACGCTAAGATGCTAGAGTTTGTGATAAGCGTGCATTTGCATGCACACCAAAGATAAAGATCCCTCGTGTAGCCTTATCAGACTGAAGGGGCAAGTGCTGTAAGCAAGCACCACGAGAGGGTTGGTGTCCAGCACCATATCCGGCCGCCTTTGTTTCCCCAGTGCCGATATTTACACACCGCACCAGGTGCTCAGTTGAGCCGACCGGGATACGTTTCACATAATCGTCACTGGTTTTAGCCGTGACCGTGTATTGAACTCGGGTGGCCAGGTTCGTCGCGCAGCGCTCTAAGCACTGTGCCACGCCTCCCATTCACGCACACACCTATAGCACCGTCACCCTGCAGGCAGAATAGACAAACGACAAGCCAAACGCGTGGGCGTACGTCAGCGCGTTCGAGAACGTCACAGAAATGTGCAACAAACTAAATCGAATATATCTTTGCTGGGTGTCAAAATAAATTAAACAAAACTTTTACTACTAAAGCAGCGCTGCGAGTAAAAAAAATAAGTTAAAGGAACGCAGTTCACGGGAAGAGAGCGAAGAGAAGGGCGGGGAAGGAGGTAGGAGATGAAAACGTCGTGAATTCATTCATAAAAGTGGGATATTAGGAGGAATGGAGAGGGCTCTGGAAGGCGCGGATCAAAAGGAAGGGCATTGTGGGGGGTAGTGAGGATGAGGCGATCCTCTTTCTCAAGCGTCAGGGACAGATCAAGAGGCGGGTGGCCTGCAGCATGGCACTTTCCCACTCGGTAAATGCGGTGCACCAGGGCAGATATCACGCGTGCGTCACCATGTACTTAGTTTGCGTGCAAGTAAGCGCGTGTACATGAGGTGCACATGTACAGCACTTTGTTAATCCGCTGCTGGATGAGGGGTTTTCCCGCGTCGTGCGGGTCGCGGGGGGTATTGGTCCGTACTTCACCAAGCCCGTTCAATAAGGGGGGGGGGGGGGCAGGGAGGTTGTTGTTGGCGAAGGCGGGGAGCGCAAATGTGGGAGCACGGTGCAATGGATTTTGATGCATTGTCCCCTCTGGGGGCAACGTAGCCCTGCAGCAACACTCGATACCTGTTGTACGCACGGTGGTTTGCCCGTTCTAACACTTTGCAGGCTCAACCCCAATTCGTTTCCGAGACCTGACGAGGGCAAATTCTGGGCGATTTGGGTCGTGGGTGTACGTACAAGCGAGGCTATGATATGCACGGACACTCACGGCTATCGACCTTTTGTGAAGGCAGGAAGACAGTGTTTGAGAATAGGTTTTCCCCTTTTTTACTGGCAACAATACAGGTGTTGAGATGTTAAAACACCAAACTGAAACCTTTTACAAGGAATCATGTCTGCATTAACCACACATACTTGTGATCAGAATGCAAAAAAACATAGTCTGATAATATATGCATTGTCTTTGAAACTGATTGGTCCACACCAGAGACAGCTTTCTTTTGAGCCTCGTCTCAAAACGGTGTTAGACCAGAGGACGCCAAAAGGCGCACAGTTCTGTTTTGCAAGTAGTTGAGGCTTTTCACGTTGGACGTCGCCACACTCATATGCACGCACACGCAGGCGTAGGGTCAGAGGTGAAAAGCGATAACTGTGCCCAAGTCAGCTCCAAACTGATATTAGCCATAATAACATCGATAACTAATCTATATTAGCAGTGGCGATAGCAATCTAATAACGAGACTAACATGTATATTGTACTTTACATGGATAGAGTAAATTCTGTAATAACATTTACTTTAATTAATAAATACAAGTTGGGTACAATAAGGCTTTGTGGTTTCACCTATTTTCGTTTAATTTTAGTTATATTATCCTTAGATTAAACAAAAACTTTGCGCGTAAAACTATACAGTGAAAACACTACTAATGAGATTTGCCGACGGCGTTACTTGCGAATTATACGAGGTTTTACATCGTGCAACGAAAACAACGAGAAATGGGAGGCAATAAAACGGTTAAAATAAACACTTGGCAGATCAAATTCAAAACCGGACCGCTCCCCCCCCCACCAAAAAAATCATTTTGGCTTTTAGGATTTCCTCTCAAATGACGATCAAGTGGGTGGGGGGGGAGCACTTTGGAGGGAGAAGCCACAAGCCCCCCCCCCCCACTCCCCAACCGGGTCTGTGAGCGCATCTGAGCAGTCACGGTGGATAATTGCCCGGCGCTGGGCGAAAGCGTGTGGGGGCTTGCCAGCCCCTCGCGGGGATAGCATCGACCCTCGTGGGTGGCGGCGGTGGTGGAGGTGGAGGGGGGTGGAGAGAGAGGGAGGCGGGGGAACGGGTGGGCAACTCTGAGCCCCCCCCTCGCCCCCACTCCCCCCAGGAGCAGCAGTCGTCACGTGGTGCCCCTAATTGCTGTCGTCCCCCCCCCCCCCCCGGTAGTGAGCGCAGTGGGGCCCTCTCGTGCGAATTTATAACGAGATTTATTTAAGCGTCCTTCATCAACCCCTTGAAAAAGCCTCGCTCGACGCCTCGAGACTCCGCACCGAAGAGGATCCTGCGATGGGATGTTCGGCCAATTCCTTACAGAGGTGCATGCGAGGAACAATTAGTAAACAAGACGCGACGCGAGACTTTCCAATACGGCAGCACAAGGGTGATCCATTTATAGATACCCCACTAAAATAATGGGTAGACGTAATGTGAGATTTCCAAAGCGCCACCAGTCGCTATACACATTACATCTTTTAGCACCCTCCTCCTGCGTCAGTTACGGAGCAATCGCTTTCACAGAACATCACAAGAAATCCCGGGTCAATTAAAAATCAGTGGCGTATCAATAAATGAATCACCCCATACGTGTGAAATGTGACAAAGAAAAGCCTACAGTGAATGAAAATCGAAATGACGTATCAATATCTCGTGGGCAAAAAAAAAAGTCCCCCCCGGGTGCTATGTCAAACTTTCTCTTTTCTTCCCAGCCATAAAAAAAGATTGCTCCTCCAACTACTTTCACTATTGGCGCACGCAGCCAGTCCAGCAGTAAGATATACATTCACTGTATTTAGGTAAACACTAAACCGAGCCACAGTGTGCGTGCGTGTGTGTGCGTGCGCTCAGCTGTGAGGTATAAACAGCCCGTAAATGAACTACTCGCCTTCAGAATAGTAAGTGGCTATGGGCAGAACACGTCGCTCGCAGCAGGCGTTATGGCTCGCGGTTGAGATCAGCGGCAGAGTCGCAACCCAATGAGTGAAACAATGCCACAAAGAGGACGTCCGCATGAAGCGATGGAATCGGCTCGGCTGAAGTCGCTGGGTGAATTGCGGCATCGCAGGGATGGTGGTGGAAAAGAGAGTGGTGGAAAAGAGCTTTATAGCTCATCGGATTCCTCCAGTGTCAATAAATATTCTGATTCTGGCTTGGGAAAGCCTTCATCCAGCAGCGGATCGATCGTGGGTCATTTATGCACGCTGAACTTCTTTCGCACCGTACGTAGCCAACCGTGCTAACCGATGGTGATCGCGGTAAAAATGGACTGCGCCACTCACGCCATCCACGCCACGTCCCGCATGAGGCACACGATCGGCACCAGGAAGAGGCCCATCCAGAACACGCCCGACCTGAAGAGGGCACTCGCCTGTGGACAAAACACAAAGACAAAGAATAAGATCCCCCGTATAGCCATAACAGACTGTAGGGGCAAGTGCTGTTAGCGAGCACCTATAAAGGCCGGCACGGCACACGAGGGGGTGGGTGGCCAGCACCACGCCCGACCGCCTTCGTCTCCCCAGTGGCGATGTTTACACACCGCACCAGGTACTCAATTTGAGTCCGAGTCGACCTAGGGGAGGCCCAGGAACGGTTCAGATAATCGTCACCAATGTTGGCCGTGAGCGGGAATCGAACTCGGGTTAGCCGGGTTTGTAGCGCAGTGCACCGACCGCCTGTGGGGAAAAGGCAGACACATCGACGCAACGCGTTCACCACTCCACCGCACTCGCGATTCACACACCCCGGTTTCATACCCTCTCATCAAATCTCACAAAGCCAAGCAGGTTGGGGCCTGGACAGTGCTTGAAGGGTCGACTACCGTTTCACGAAGGTGTCGCGGTGCTACGTTGTCAGAGGGTGGGAGCGTGCCACCCGCCTTCACCATCTCTGAGTAGTGTAGCGAAATACAGGCAAACAATCCCCACGACCTGCATGGCATGGAGAGGCCTTCATTCTTCAGCTGTACTTGTCCGTTGCAACTGCTAAAATGAATGTAAAGTTACAAGTTTTTAAGGATGATTTGAAAGCAGTTTTTGATGATAACCAAATAATATACCCCACCCTTTGGGGGGGTGAGAAAGAAACCAATGTAAAGTGACTTCATATTTATAAACAAACCACATTACAAATTCTTGGTTCTTTCGGTAAAGTCACGTAGAAGGGAAACAATAAAATAATAAATACAAATTTCATACCTGTGGTTTTCACACCTGATGATGATTGCTTGTGTTGCAGTTGAAACGTCGTGAGAATTTTATTGTTTTATATTTTTATTATTTTGTTTCCCTTCTACGTGACTTTACCGAAAGAACCAAGAATATGAATCCCTGCACTTGGGTTTTTCGGTAAAGTCACGTAGAAATAATAAAAAATAAAATTATATAATAGCATACGACGTTTCGATTGCAACACAATCAATCATCATCAGGTACAGAATTAACACAGACACATCAGGGGACACAGAGAGAGGCGGAGGAGCACACTAAATCAAACAGGGTTTAGCAAAAATTATGAAACTATATAAAGCAACACAGACGGTCGGTTAAAACACAATTAACGCATGGTCTGGTTGATTACGCTATTTCAAAGATTGCTAAATTGTAAGTTAAGTGTGAAATTTAAGAGAAGTGATAGAACACAGATCGCAAAGAGACATATGGTGAGAGACACGCACACAGCGCATCTATGTGCCGAAGCCTTATATAGACAGAAACGGCGGAGCTGGGACTCAGAGACAATAGGACACAAATTAGCATGAGGAGAGCACATATCAAAGGAAGGTGCGGGTGCAGTCACGAAAGCTTTAAATAAAAATGTAAACCACATTTCAGTTAAAATATATAAAGATATCCAATCTGTGAAAACTTAATGCGTGAATTAAGTCAAACGCTGCTTGCAGCATGAACCCCGAAACCGCAACCACGTTCACATAATGAACACACCTGCAAAACACTGCAGTCCATTTATTGCAGTGTTGAAACATTCACATGTACGTGTTTGTCTTTTAAACAGTCTCAAGGGAACAAATAGAAAAGACAATCCAACCGCCCTTTCATCACTTCCAAGTATGTGCCCATTGTTTGGCAGAGAACATTTACCGGAGAGTAACCCAGTTGTAAGGACTGCTGGGTGCAAGAGGGAAAAAAAAAACACTGTCGACAATAAATAGTCAGCGTCGATTGACATATTCAGGGTAAATTCGGGCAGTAACGAAACGCCAAGGGGGCATGTAGGTCGTCTGAACGCGCTCGTGTCTGATAGTGATGCGCTGTGGACAGATGAGCAAACAAACGAGCATTATCATTGGCGCGCCTTCCCTGCCTTACATGGTCTGCCCCCAAAATCCCACCGTTGCAATTTAAACCCCACAAATAAGACCACCAAGAAAGCTTTAGGCTTTGTATTTGTAGAGAGTGGGGGACTGGCAGGGAGGGTGGGTGTTTGGTTGGTTGAAATCCAGAGGCTATTGCGTCAGAAGCTGTTAGAGAGTGGGAGAGAAACTGAAATGACTTTTAAACTCTTTCATGGAAAGAATATAGTGTTGATGCTGAAAAAAGTTGTGTTTTTTCGTACTTGAATGTGCCCAAGGCAATGGAACACCACTGGCCTTGCTCACATAACCGTGTCCGAGAAAAAAAAACGACAACGGTCTAGCAGAGATAAAACTAAAACAACACCGCAAAAAATATGCAAGGAAAATTAATTCATCCCCAGGCCAATGTCCGTGCAAACACATGCACGCACATTCAGCACAGGACATTCATCTGCTTCGGCTGAAACGCCACGTGCCAAGGATTGGTTCAAAACTAAACGCCTTGTAGAAGATTTTAAAGTGAGATTTGCATTAAACTACCAACAGGGTATTATTTTATGACTTTCCATCTTACAGCTGACGCGGTAGCGTCCAGCAAAACTACCCGGAAAACGACTAATCCAGGACCTCGTGCTCCGGCTGACATTTCAAGAACAAAAGCCCAAGGGTGCTGCGAGGAAAAAAAAGCATCCCAAATCTAACAGGTGTCCATTTTTTTTGTTCCTTTTAACAGGACAGCATGATGCATATTTTAGGCTGTATTTAGGCTGCCCCCGTGCCAACAGGTGGCCTGGATTAGTCCCGGTGCCAATGCTCTTCGGCCCAAAGATTAACGGTGCGAGTGATGGCCACGGGGTCCTGGTGCGTGCGGGAGGCATTTCAGGGTTTATGCGGAGGTGGCATGGCATGGAGAAGGTCTTGACCCTCACAGCGGGTATTTTCAGTGCAGCCATCGATCACGGTGCATTAATGCCACGATGCACGCACACAAACACGCACAAATACAAAGACCCCCCCCCCCCCCCCCCCCCCGTATAGCCTGAACAGACTGTTGGGGCAAGTGCTGTTAGCGAGCAGCACCTATGAAGGCCGGCACGGCACACGAGTGGGTGGGTGGCCAGAACCACGCCCGGCCGTCTTTGTCTCCCCAGTGGCAAAGTTTAAACACAGTCATAAGTGCGCTTTGCGGATTCACGCTGGCTGCTGCGTTGGTAAATCATCAAATGAACAGCGGAACTCGTTGAGCTTAAATATATCAAAATTGGTCTTTAAAGCCACTCTTATGATGGTAAAGTGAATTACTAGTAACACACCCGTTAGTAATTCCAGGCAGCAAGCTGTAAATTGTATTCAATGTGCTTAGAAAGATACCCAATCAATATGCGAAGTGGGGGGGGGGGGGGGTAATCTATAACATTAAGTCAAGCAAACATTTGAATGCACTATAAATAGAATGTGGATTTTACAAGTGGTCCCATTGCAACCTGACTGCATACAATCAACTGGACACTCAGCATGGTTTGGCTCTCGCATAATCCCAGCCGCACACGATTTGGAAGCCCCTCCATCCACGGAGAGGGTGATAAAATAGCATTTCGGATGCGGTTTTTCACACACCGCTTTCGTGGTCGAGGCGGCAGGGAACCCAAGGGCTCACGACTTTAGGTTCCCAGTTTTCCCCAACACCCCATCGCTGCCACCCGTTAAATGCCTAAAAAATGTCGATGCACCATCTGCGAGAATTAGAAAGTCATTTGGAACATCACCTCCCAAAAAGGAGAAGATAAAAAAATGCAGCACTGTTAATTTTTCACACGAGATTAACTGGCAAAGCAGTTACATTTTCCGCTCCAATGTCGTAACGGAAAATAAGAACAAAATCCACTGCATTTATGAATCAATGGGGTTGCTCATACTGTACAGATATATTGTTTTCATTCATTGTTGCGGTTCTCGATTGCTACCAACCAGCACATGTGCTGCACATGCAGAGAGTCTGTCAGCAATGCCCTTATGCTGTGAGTCAGAGTGAATTTCTGCCAAGATAAACTAAATGTAGGTTACAGTGGCCATTCCGCTCTGCCCATGTGCATTTCTATCCTCAACATCGCGGCAGCTTTAGTGGGCAGACGTGCCATGACACACCGGGAAAATGTATCCGCTGAAGGTTAACGAAAAGTGGATTTGACATGGTGGTGGTGCAATGGGAAAAGGGCTTTGGCGGCCCCTCTGCTGTGTAAGGGATTTAGTGAGAAGCCAAAATGGACAGGCAGTTTTTTTTTTCACAGACGCTCTCATGGGCTCTTATATCTTCCCCTCCATCTGTCCCACCGTCTCAAACCACGTCAGTCACAGTTCACATGCATGCTAGTCAACGGGAGAGGTGACGACAATGACAAGCCACTCTTATTTTCGGAAGTATTGACATACTGGCACTGACGCGTGCTTGCGTCTGCCGAAGATTGGTAAATCTACAATTCTTCCAGCGTCAGAAAGGACAATGTTTTGCTGCGATTCGAAAAGCTCTCGGGTGAGGCACGTAACGTCCCGGATGTAACGTTTACTCTGCTGCAGGTGCCTTCCGTATTCGCCTCATCGCCCGTGCGCGCCTTATCGCACGCTTTATCCACCTTCGCCATCACACGAACGATGAAGCACAGGCGTGAAAAACACGTCCCCCGTCCCTTCTCCTCACTCCTCGCCTTTCAGCCCCAGCAGCCACGGCGAATCCCCAACCCCGCCAACCCACCACGTCCACAAAAAAATGACACCTCCGACGTTCTCATCATTCCACCCTGGAAAGAAGAAAATAAAATATTTAATTAACGTTAGTAAAATCCAGTAAAACTCCTCCCGCCACGTCGCGACAGCCTCCCACCCCATCCCCGGCAAGCGTCGCCCAGGACCCCCCCCCCCTCTCCCTCACATCGCACGCTCCTGTCTAGAGGGAGGTTGGGACCAATGGAATAATTGACATTTTAGGTGTAATTATAGGCCGTTGGCATTATCCCCGAGGCTCCTTAAGGGCAGATTGTTTGCGGCTAACGAGAAGG